TTAAAAAAAAAAAAAAAAAAAAGTTAGCATCTAGTACAGAGTGTCCATCATATATTGTCATCAATATTTATTGCATATCTTCCCTGTGCCCGGCTGTGGGGGTTATTAGCAAACAAAATAAAGCCTCCATGGAGCTTTACGTCTCGAAGTTGGGAGGGGGGTGCAAAGTGTGTAGTCTGTGTATGTCAGATACAGTTAAGCGTCAGCAGGAGACAGGACAGCAGGAGGAGGCAGAGAATGGCTGAAGGCACCTGTGGGTGCAGACTTGAGTGCAGGCGAGGCCTGGCAGGAGTCTCTGTGAGAGGATGCAAATGCTTTTGTCCAACTGTAGGTCTCCTAGACTGCCTCAGTGCGTGCTGCAAGGCCACCCTGCATTTCTGCCCCAACCCTCTATTTGCACATAACCATCTGCATCAATAATCCATGTCCTATGCCCTGGCTTTGGTGACCTGGTGTTGAAAGCAGCTCTTTGGGTTTCCAGTTTAATGGACTGGATGTATCGTTACTGGCATCCAGGCATCTCCAGCTTTAGAACTGAGTTGTAGTTCATGTTTGCCTCTAAGCTTTTTTGACCCAGCTCTTTGAAGTTAAAACTTTGGAAAAAAATAAAAATAAGGCCCTCCCTGGTGGCGCAGCGGGTTAAAGCACTGCGCTAAGATGCTAAAGCCACTTCAGCAGGAGTGCCATCCCCGCCCCGGAGGAGACCACATGGCGCGGCAGACCTCTACTGACCCGCCCGCTGCTCCCCTCAGTAGTGTATTTTGTCAGTAGGCCTGTTCTGCTCCCCACTCTGTCTCTGGTGAATCCTCTTACCGCCCCTGCATCTTTGGCCTGTACTCCAGGTCTGTATGCATAAATAAATAAATCTTTTTAAAAAAATGAAATTGCCCGTGCTAGTATAGAAATAACAAAGGAAGCAAATGCTTTTAAACATTGCTGTGATGGGGGAAAAATATAGCATTGCTATTTATAACTTGTACAGAGTCCCACATAAAAATAGCTCGAACTAACAGATTCGCTCATATCTGGAATACAAAGTTGTTGCTGCTGTGTCTTCAGGAATTCTAATAAGAACAATCACGGCATTGGTAAATATTTATAAAGTTTATCATCTTTTCTTTTACCCTATTTATCTTATGGGGGAGAAAATAGTTCCTGGAAATGTCCTGGCTTTTATGTCACTAGAGTTTTGTTATTTTCTCAGCTGTTAGTTTCTGGTTTTAAATGAAAAACATACATTTGCTCCTTTTAACTTCATTCCATGAGGTGAGCAGATTGCTGGTTCATTGTATCACTGTCTGAAATATTTTTTGTCAGGCTAAGTGACGTAACATTTCATCCTTCTAAAGACTAATTTTGTGTGATTTGGTGTGACAGCAAAAATATAAAGAGCCTCGGATGTTAATGAAATGCTTCTTTCTCTCTGATTTCCAGCGAAGCTTCCTGGGCTATGCCAGTTTCAAAGTGGGGGAGTTGCTGAAGCCAAAGGAGCAGTTGCTCACCCTGAGCCTCAGGTGGGTCATTGCTGCACAACGCAGGTGACATTTATCCATGACTGGTTAGGGGTGAGAGTCAGAATTCTTGCATATGTTCAGATGTCAACTCTCAAGTGTTTTACGTTCTCCGCAGCAACAAGTCAAGGTAGATTATTCAGGTTTATATCCCAGTCTATGTGTTGGAGCTAAAAGGTTATCAACCCTTGTAGAGAAAGGTAAATACCGCATTATCATTAAAGTTATGAAAGTCTTTGAAAGAGAGTAAATGGAAATGATGACCGTGTTATTAAGTAGTTTTGCTGGCAGTTACCAAAATGTTACCTTTTAAATCAAGTAAGGTTCAACGTAGGTTTAAAATGTTTGTTAGAGGCCACAGAGCTGATTTATGATCATAGAGTGGAAGCTAAGCTGATTATTCTATTTTTTATCTTCTTTTGTTGCTGTTGTAAGTTAAAACAGGCTTCTATTAAAAGAGACAATAGAAAATAGATAATTTTGAGTATAGATGCTGTTTTTTGTGATACAGAAGAGGGCATAATAATCTTTACGTAGTAGTATAGTGTTTTAATACTAAGAAAGGTGTGAAATAGAACTCATCTTTCTTTTTAATTTCATAATAAATTTGAGACAATTGTATGCTGTTTTCCAGTTGCACAATAATTTTCATAATTAATATATACATGGAGAACACTGCCTTACAATATATGCATGATATACATGAATATAAAATGGTATACTTGATCTTAGCCAAAAAAATGGTATAGAACGCTATTTGTAAATCTTAAGTCAGTGAAACACAGAGATCGCTCTCTAGGAAGATAAAAATATTCAGGTTAATCACACTCTCACCCATTTCCAGGACCCTGTGGTCACCAGCAGTAACTTATTTCAGTGAAGATGCCACAGCTGATGTTGGAATCTGTAGTTCCTGGTCTCTTTTTCTGATCTTTCCTGATTCTTAACTGTTCTGCATTTTAACTCAGTAGATAGTGCAGCATAATTTAAAGGAATTCATATTCATGCAGTAAAATAAATTCTGCTGGGTTCTAACGATGTCTTCTCCTTACCTTCGGCTTCCTTTTGGCGTTATTTTTGTTGTTGCATTTTATTCAGGAAGACACTGAAAAACATTTAAGGTTCAGCAGTGTGATTGTGATGCCCAGTGAGCTTTGCCAGGTTACATCTGCCGCTTTACATCTGCCTGAAGTAGGTAGGGACAGCTAAGAAGTTGAGATACTGATGTCACTGACACCCTAGAAAATACCTGTTAGCAGCCTGGCATGCGGCTATGGCTGTCCCACTGGCCCTAGGTCCTTGATATGAGGTGTCAACCTGGAGCCAAGTTAAAACAACTAGCTGGCTGCATGTTTCTAGCTCAGATGCCAAGCGCCTCGTTCTTCATCGTTGGGACTCACGGGCGGGTGCCGACTGTGTCATCCCCGTCCTTAGCACCAGCCACACCATGTGTCACACAAGAGAGGACTGGCTTTGACAGAGACATCTTCAGGGGACCAGGAATTCTTAGTGAAATAAAAATCAGTGAACATGCGCAGTGTCTTCCAGAGAGGAGCCGGAAAGAGGGTCAGAATTAGAACTCTGACCTTGGAAGACATGTGGAAATTCAGGTGTAGAGGAAATTAAGACACATTTCCATGTTATCTCTTTTTTTCTTTGTTCTTATCAGTGGTATGTTGGTTTACAGCCCTGCACTGTCTGTGTTTTAGGATTCAGGTTCACAGCTCTTCAAATGTGTGAGACCACAACACACCCACCACCACAGTGCCCATCACGCCCATGACCCTCCGCCACTGCCCATCAGAGCCCTGCGCCCTCTCCCTCCTCAGCCTCCTGGTATCCACAGTCAGACCCCCCGCGCCTACCTGCCCCTGTGCTTTACTCCTCTGTATGCCACACACGGGTGATTCCCTGGCATTTGTCTTTCTCCTTTGACTTAGTTTGCTTGGGCTAATCCCCTCCATTTCTGCTCACGTTACTGCAGGTGGTAAAGTTTCACCTTATTTTGTAGCTGAGCAGTATTCCGTTACGTGAGTGCACCGCATCTTTATTTGCTCAGCTTGCTGGGCGCCTAGGTTGTTTCCATGGGCTGCTCTTGTAAGTAGAGCTGCAAGGAACATAGAAGGGCCTTTGCTTTTCAGGTTAGTGCTTTGTATCCTTCCATACGTAGGTGTGTACTTGCTGGCCCAAGTGGTAGATCTACTTTTAATCTTTTGCGAAACCTCTACAGTGTTTCCCATAGAGGTTGGGCTAGTCCACCTCCCCCCAACTGTATGAGTGTTCGTGGATCTACTGAAATTCACTGCTGAGAGGAGCAGGGGGAGATGGGAGAGGTCTGCTGCAGCATGTGGGTCAGCTCCTGGCTGGGGATCGAACTCGTGCCATAGCTTGATAGCACTGATACTGGAACCTGTGTGCATCAGGAAGGCCACCTAATTCCAGTTTTATAAAAGGAAAACAAGTTCAACAACAAAGAATTGCATTTTCAAAAGAAATTTTGCATTGTTATTTTCTTTTTCTGTTCTCTAGCTCATGGCCATTTATTGCATGTTCCCAGAGCCCACAACATGGGGAGCCATGCCCAGGCTCTTGTAGAGAGGGTTAGAACTGACATGAGAGCACTGGGCAATGTAATAATAAAAATTATAAAATTTATAACATGTTCTTTATGTTCTAATAATTATATTAGCGATGTTTTCTCATTGACCTTTATCAAATTAGCCTGGCATTATGATTTTGATGTGTTGTCAATCAAGGAACTGAGATGTAGAAAGTGGTTAGGTACTTTGTACTAAGTCATAAGGCTCCGAGTGGGAAGACCAAGACAGGAGACCACGTCTCTGGCAGCAAAACCTGTGCTCTTAATGATCCACTTCCTTGATGAAGTAGAAAATAATCTAGGTGAAACATGTGTCTAGTAACGGCCTCAGGTCCAGGCCTTTTGGTTCCTGGTTTCACCTGTGGCTTTCACGATGATGCCGTTCTTCCAGGAGGCGAGTGAAGACAGTAGTGTGCTAACACTCCAGGGAGAAGTCAGGCGCACTAGCCATTTTGGTGGAAAGAGCGAACCAGTGTGCAGTTTAGGGGGCACTGAAGGACTCAGGGAAACCTCCGAAATCTATTTTCACTCCCGAACCGAAATACTTAAAGGCCTGTGACCTGGCTGATTGCACAAGTGCCTGCCAGTCACCGCTCTGCCAGCCTGATAGGGACATTACGGGGCCACACCCCAAGAACAGCACTGAGATCTCATAACTGGGCAGAGACACTAGGTCTGTGTCTGCAGTGGTGCCAGCGGTTGGGGTAAATTATGAGGCGCTTTAGTCAAACAACCATGAAGGCAGAAGAAAGGACAGGTTTGCTCTTCTTCCGAGGAAACCCTTTTTAGGAGAATTGAGGCGGACAGATGTGTTTCAGTCTTGCCTGAGCTCTGTGGCCTGCCTCTCCCAGGCTGGACTTCTGTGCTCATCCATTCAGCAAGCAATCATGAGCTGCTTTTCCCGTGCAACCACAGGCAGCGTTTCCTTAGCAAAGTGTTTAAATGGCAGTCGAGTTCATATCTGCAGTTGATGTGGCTGATAAAGAACAATCTGGTTTGTTATCTGCTAGCAGGCGTGGAGCATGCTGGGTGCTTTCTGTGCATGATCTTCTTTCATGCGGGCCCCTATCGTCTCCGTCTGACAGTGTCTTGTCAGAGATCTGCAGCTGCTGATGTTACACGTAGGATTAGAGTCCAGACTGGCTGGGCTCCAGTGCTTGTTCTGCTTTTATTTTCCTGTCTCATAGGAGCCTCTCTCGACTTAATGGAGCCTTTGCTTCCTTCTCCATTTTATATTCTGTCATTTGGAGAATTTCAGTGCTGTCGATTAGTTTTGCTTAATTTGTTAGCTGAAAAGTTAATTATATTTGCCTGCAACTTTGTCCAACTACAGTCATTGTCATTGGGGTCTAGATTGGTGGGGATGTGGGGACAGTATGTCGTAAGCATGATGGTGTATCTGCGACAGCCACCTGCAGGGGCAGCCAGGGGCCGGTTGTCATCTGCTTGAAAAGCTGACCACCTCACGAAGGACTCAAAGTTATGTCAGGGCAGGCCATTTGCCTTGTTTCAGAAACTCCTGGCTCCTCATCCCAGCAAGTGCTCTGTTAAATCGTGCATGATCTATTTATAACGCCCTTCCCCATGAAGCAAACACTTATATCATTTTATCAGCATGGACACAATAAAATTTTCTTGAATATTGACGTGAAGATTCATAAAAAGGGAATTTATGTTTTCTTTTCATTATTGTCTCTACCACAATTACAGTGGTGCTAATGACTCATTAGATTCCAATGATCTTAACAGATCTCTGCTAGGCTTTGTCATATTCAGATGTATGGGACAGGCTACAAAAGAAATAAGCTTTAGATTTCTACTCTTTGTAAATTTCCCTCTTCTATGTAACATTTTTGTATTCACACATGGACATCTATGTCAGTTTGCATTTTTGACATGTGACTGCATCTCTATGGTTTTAGGGCCATTTTCCTTTCACAAGATCCCTGAATTTTCCATTATTGTTAAATGTTTATGCACAGAAAGGTAAAACCTAAATTATGAGATCACAAAGCTTTTTACCTTTGGTGTTTTGCTTAATCTCACTTTAAACATACATACGCACGGTTCAATTTTGTTGTTTCTAAAAGTAAAAGAGCAGCACACATCCTTAGATATTTTAACTTAATTTCTGAAAGGCAAATTACTTACTTGAGAGCTGCAAGTAAGGCCCAGGAGAACCCTCCCTGCTTAGTATGACATACAGTTCTGCACACACACAAATTCCAAGTGATACAGATGTGAACTTGCTAACATCTAGCAGACTGGGAGCCCAGGCATGTGTAACAGGGCAGTGGATCAGAATCCACTTGTTCCTGGAACCCTATAAGCGTGTCCGGTCCTCCGACACCACCTGAGACCTAACCCTGGTCATAAATTGAACAATAGAGTTTTAAAGTTCTTT